GGGTGGAAGCTCAGGACACTCCAAAGCCAATTGCCCCAGTCTCGGAAGGAGCTGGGGGGGGGGGGGGGGTGGAAGCTCAGGACACTCCAAAGCCAATTGCCCCAGTCTCGGAAGGAGCTGCCCAGGCCTTTCCCTAGCAACTGTACTCACCTGGGAGCTCAAAAGCCCTTTAGAGCCAGAGGCAAATGTGCTTGCCATTAATAGAAAAAATGTTTATAGAGCACCTACTGTGTACCAGGCTGCCCACACCCAGGCCCTGCCAGCTTCTTCTATGCTGTTTGACAAAACCTGCCCATCCTGCTTGTTGGGGCAAATTCCTGGCAGACAGCACGGCCTGCAGGTAAGACATGTGAAAGCTGGAAGAAAGCACCCTATTTGTGCTCTTCCCCCGGAAGCAGTAACACCAAGAACAGGCAGGGTCACCGGCATCTTTTGGAGGCTCTTCCAGGTGTGCCTGGGAAGGCGAGCTGGAGTTCCCCAGGAGCTTACGTCTGGGCATATCTCTCACCTCACCATTCCTAGAACATGGTGGAAGCCTTCACCAGGCCTATTCTGCTTGGGAAGAGCTTCTGCTAGCTTCTTCCTGACAGTACCGATGGTCAAGGGACAAGTGAAATCTGAGAAGCAGGTTCAGGGAGGCCTCTGCCCTCCCCTCAGGACCAGGGGCCAGAAGAGAAGATGGAGAGGGGGACTCAGAGCCCAACTCACCGAAAGGGGTCTCTGGAGGTGAAGTAAGCCGGGACGGACAAGTAACTCCCCATCTTCTTCCCACACCAGATAAACAAGCTCAGCTGCAAACCTGTCTGGGAGTGCCTCAGGCTGGCTGCGAACGGCCACCATGACAGGCCCAGGGCTCCCGGCACCTCTGGCTGTGGGCGGGCTGCCCAGGGTTCACCTCTCCCTCCGGAGAAGCCAGAGGGGCATGAGGACTCCGGGCCACTTGCCCCCCGGCAGATTCCCGCAGCGGGTCATGGCTGGGATGGCTTCTCCCCAGTTCTCGGAAGCTCCGATGGACCCTCGGGATTCCGGGAGAAACACCTCTCTGCAGAGGCCACACACACACACAGGGATTCTTGGGCCGGGGCCGGTGACTAGCTAAGAAAGAAGCGCTGCTGTCAAGTTAGCCTTCTTCTTCAGTCCCTCCCCTGATGAGGGAGGGAGGGAGGGAGGAAGAGGAGGGGCTCTTCGCGGAACCGAGGTGTGTGGTTGGAGCAGCTATTAGGAAATAGACCTTGCAGGCAAGGGGTGGAGCTGGGCTGGAGGGAGGCTGCAGGCTAGCGCCACAGACAATAACCAGGACTGGCTGAGCGTCCATCCCTGAGCTCGGGAAGGGCAGGGCAGAGAGAGAGGGCGAGCCCATCTGCCTCGAAGTGTCCCCAGCCTGAGGAGCAGCCCAAAGGATAGTTAACTCTGCTTGGAGGTGAAGGAAAGCACAGGATAGCAATTACAGGCCAAGCCACGCCCCCCCAAAGAGGGGGAGGTCTCTTGGGCAGGGGAGGCAGGTCTAGACACTAGAGACCCAGGTCCAGAGAGCTGCTGTCTAGGTTCTGTACTCTGGCTGGTATCTACTGGGTCCTGGCGCTAGGGTCCCCATTCATCCCTTTCCTCTGCCTGGCCTAGGGACAGCCCCTAGAGCTAGCCAATGGGGGTTGCCACTCCACTTCTGGGCAGAGCTGTACTGAGCATGAGGAAAAGACACCTAGAGTGTCAACTGACACCCGATGTTTCTCCACGTAGCAAGCCCTGTACAGCACTCTCTTATCTCTCCAAGATGGGAATTAGCTCCATTAACAAGGAAAGCGAGGTTCAGAGAGATTAGCTAACTAACCCAAGGCCAAAATATTGTTCAGGGGCAGGGCTGGGATTTAAAGATTTTTTTTTTTTTTAATTTGAGATAGAAAGTGAGAGAGCACGAGTTGGGGGACAGAGGGAGATGGAGAAGCAGGCTCCCCACTAAGCAGGGAGCCTGACGTGGGGCTCGATCCCGGGACCCCAGGATCATAACCTGAGCCAAAGGCAGATGCCCAACCGACCAGCCACCCAGGCGCCCCAGCGCTGGGATTTAAATGTAGGCCCATGTGAGAACTCCACAGCAAGAGCTCTCAGCCCAGAGCTCATTCTGACTCTTTAAGGGGAAATATCTCCCTCAAAGCCTTTCTGCAAGTTGGAGACAGCACAGGAACTGGAGCCCAGGTCACCTGTTACCTCTCATTTTTCCTTTCATTGCCAGAACGCCATCCATTGGCCTCAGCGGGCAGTGGTGCTTCTTCTGCTGTGTCCATGGCAACCAGCCTTCTCAAACTGAAAAATGGGGCACGATGGAGGACAAGGCTGGGAGTGCCTACGGGGATGTTGGGCCTAAGTATCTGGAGTGGCGGCCTGGCTGAAGAGTACCAGCTGAGATGGGATGACCAAACCAGAGCCCACCACTGGGAAAGCCCCTTATCCCTCTGCCTGCAGGACTGTGAGGGAAAAAGCAAGGTTGCTGGAGTGGGACATGTCCAGACCTCACTGTTGGACTTGAGGGAGTAACAGCAGCTCTCTCCCACCAGGCATACATTCCTCTCCACTGAAGTCACCCTGTCACCATGACAGGAAAGTCTGTGGCAAAGGTGGTGACTGGGTTACAAGGGAACATTTTCCCATTCCTCTATTGATTGGAAACACGGGTAACAATGAATGTGATAAGAGAGACTGTGTATGCACCTGTTATAAGATACCATTTCTTAAACACTTAGTATGTTCCCGGCTCTGTGGTAAGTGCTCTCCATTTGTTATCTATCATACTTAAACTGCTAATATATGGGGGTAGATGTTATCATCCCCATTTAACAGATGAGGAAACTGAGGTTCAGAAGGGTTATGTCAATAACCTGAAGACAAACAGCTAGTAAGTGGTGCAGCTGGGTTTCAAACCCAGTCAGTATGATTGTAGATCAGGGGTCATGACACTTTTTCCCTAAAGGGCCAGGGAACAAATATTTTAGGCTTTGCAGGCCTACGCAAATACAGAATCTGTCACTGCAGTGTGAAAGTGGCCATATATAAAATATAAACAAATGGACATGGCTGTTTTCCCATAAGCCTTTATTTATAGACAGTGAAAATTGAATTTCATGTAATTTTTTTTCTTTAAAGATTTTTTATTTTATTTATTTATTTGACAGAGAGATAGAGAGCACAAGCAGGCAGAGAGGCAGGCAGAGGGAGAGGGAGAAGCAGGCTCTCCGCCGAGCGATGAGCCCAATGTGGGGCTCGATCCCAGGACCCTGGGATCATGACCCGAGCCGAAGGCAGCTGCTTAACCGACTGAGCCACCCAGGCGCCCCGAATTTCATGTAATTTTCATGTGCCATGAAACATTCTTTTGCTTCCCCATGCCCAATCATTAAAAAATGTAAAAATCATAGGCCATATGAAAACAGGCAATGGGCTATATTTTGCCAACCTCTACTGTGCAGCCAAGGCCCTCAACCGCTCTGTTTACTGCCCCTAATAGTGAAGACTAGCTTTTGGCATATGTGCAGAACTCAGCCACATCTATCTACTGGCACACAGACACCACACTCCAGCCCCAGAGGCAGCCAGCAGGGAATAAGCACTGGATGGGCGCTCATTCTACACCAAGCACTGCTCATAGCATTCACTCATATGAATGAATTTTAACCCACAGTAGTCAGTAGTGCTATGCTTTCTCCCTTTTTACAGAGGGAGGAACTGAAGTACAGAGTCTAAATTGCTTGTATGAGGTTACCCAGTTGTATAAATGAGAGGAGAAGCCAGGATTCGAACCCAGGCTTTCTGTACTGAGGTCCACCATCGCTATGTTGGAGCTCAGTCTGGGCCTGGAGCCAGACTGTCTGGGTTTGAATGCGACAATGCACTGCGTGTAAGCCCTTGGCACAGAGTCTGGAACACATTAAGGGTTGATAAATGTTAGCTGCTAATATCATTAAAACTATTGTTACTACCACTATGGGCTAGCTATGTGGCCTTCAGCAAGTCGCTGCCTCTGTCTGGGCCTTGGTTAGGTCTCTAAATAGCTTCCAGCTTCAACATTTGTCAACCCTATGAGGTTGCAGAGGGCTCCCTGTTTTCCTTGGGTCTCAAATTGAGTTTAAACCTCTTCAGCCAGCTCTGAGGTGATTGGGATCCCAACCTGGGGGCCACACAGGAGCAACAGAGGAGGTCGGGCAGTGTGGAAAGGAGAAACAACACACAGGATACCAAAACGCTCATCCAGCTGAAAAGCTGGGAGCTCTCTTTCTCCCAGTGATAGAGCCAACTATTTCTCACCAAAAATCTATTATGTTCCCTTGTAATTCGATCAGGCAAGAAGGGGGCCCCCAATTAAGTCTGGAACTAGCAAATTATCTTCTAATTGCGCCCTCTGATTTCCATCTGATGAACAGAGTGCAGATGGAAGAAAATGCAAGCCACAAAGAGACTGGGGCCAGGGAGCCCATGAGCATAACTCCTCTTGACATTTCATACAGCTCTGCTGTTCCAGCGGCGGCGGGCGCAGTGAGTCGGTGTCTAGGAATGTGAGCAGGAGGCTGCAGGCTTTCTCGATTCCCCCCACTCTGCTTACAAAGGACTCAGTGGGTGGGTGGGTGGGTGTGTGGGGAACTAGTGTGAGGGCTTCTCAATGCCATGAAAACTGCTTCTCCCTCAAAGAGGGGCAGCCGTCTCCCCATGTCATGAGTGGAAGCCCCTCCTAGGTGGAATCCATCTGACCTCCATAAATCCAGACTTTGGGAGGAATCACTGAAGGACTGATCACCAGATGTGATAAGCTGTTGGCTGCTCAGACCCAAGTGTGTGGTTCCTCAAGACCAACTTCAAAGGGCCTAAACCACCCAGAACTGGGAGGTGAAAGGTCACACTGGAGACTACACTTCCCCCTCCTGCCTTTGGATACTGGCCCTGGGTGGAAAGCCGCTCTTCTAGGTCCCTAGAGCAGCTGGCAGAGGATTCAGCAGTTATGGCTGCCAGAGGCAACTGCAAGGATCCTTGGACTGGCAGTTATGGACAGGATAAGGTGGCAGGAGAGGTACTAATCTGCACATTTCACAAGTTGGAAACCTAAAGAGGAGCCAAGCAAACTGATTCTTCTGAACCAGATGAGATGCGAGAGGCTGAAGGCAGCAGCCTTCAAGGCTGGCAGACCCAAGTGAACACTCTGGTTAGAAGTGGTAAATGAATGAATCACTCGGACCTCTCCTCAGAAGGCAGCTCTGCTCAGATGATCTGAAGCCCAAGGAACTGTGTTCTTGTGGGGCCCTCTATTGGCCGGGATGACTCCAACCAAGGAAGGGAGCTCCTGGGGACTCCATAGCTTCTGAACCTTGAAAGGTGAGCACTGCTACCCCCATCTACTGACCATTTCTCCAGCCTCTGCTCCTCCTCTCTTTCAACATGACTATAGCAATCATCATCCTAAAACAGGAGTCCTGGGAATTCCATTGATAGAAATTTTGCCCAGAGGCAGGGCCTGGGTGGCTCAGTCAGTTAAGCATCTGCCTTCGGCTCAGGTCATGATCCTGGGATCCTGGGACTGAGCCTCCTGGTCAGGGTCCCTGCTCAGTGGGGAGCCTGCTTCTCCCTCTGCCTGCTCCTCCCCCTGCTTGTGTGTGCTCTCTCTCTCAAATAAATAAATAAAATCTTTAAAAAAAAAAATTTGCCCAGAGAAATATTAGTACGAATGAGCTAGAACACATATCCAGCACTGTTTAATACTAAAAGATTAGGAACAGTCATGTGTCTATTAAGGAGTGGGCTCGGGGCACCTGGCAAGGGCAGGCGTACTCTTTGCAGTGACCTATGGCACTGGTATTGCATTTATAATCCTGCTTTTTTTTTAAAGATTTATTTAATTAATTTATTAAGAGAGAAGGGGTGGGGCAGAGGGAGATGGGAGAGAATCTCAAGCGGACTCCCAGCTGAGCGCCAAGCCCTACGTGGGGCTCGATCTCACAACCCGGAGATCATGACCTGAGCTGAAATCAAGAGTCAGATGCTTGGGGCGCCTGGGTGGCTCAGTCCGGTAAGCGACTGCCTTCAGCTCAGGTCATGATCCTAGGGTCCTGGGATCGAGTCCCACGT